TCAACGGAAAGACAGATAGCTAAATGTGCTGGAAGACATAGCCCCGGCCCATGCCCTTCCGAAAAGAGGGATTGAAATTCCCCTTACAAAGCTAGAATTGGCTGTGGAATCGCAAACTCATCCCTCATTGGCCTTTACTGACCGAGTACACAGCCTGAGCCAAACCTAATACCTTCAGTGCGAATGCCAGGACCATGGCAGCCGATGGGGTCACCGAGTTGTATGACAGGTCCACACTCGACAACGTGTCATTCTCGAAGAGCGAAACCGCTAGCATCTTGCCCGGAAATGATTAGAAAGGGAGAGGGTAGGCGACCAGGGGGTGAAAAGGTGTTTTGGTCTACGCCACAAGCAACCACCGAACCAATCACTTGTCCGTTGTTCACCCAACGTAGAAATTAGCGAACGACCAGTATAATCCACGCCTTTGCAAGCTTATTGAGAGGGTGGTCCCTTCTTGATCGCAGACAAGCATGCTTTCAGCACGACGAGCTTCGCTAGACAAATCGCCGTGAGTAATTAAGGGAACCTACAAATACTACGACAGTGAACGTCGCCTTGCAAATACATGTCGTAGAGGAGGCCACTGCACCTGGCTGGCGTGGTCGGAGAATGAGTTGTGACGCAAGCTCAGCGATTGAAGGCTGCGGTTGTGCTGCAGAGACTGCGCCACTGTCACCGCCGAATCTCCCCGGAGGAAATTCCATCCCAAGTTGAGGCTTGTGAGGGTGCAATTCCTCGATAGCATGTCTGCTATGGCTCCAGCGCTGGTTACCTACGAAAAAATTGAACCAGTTTTGCCGTTGGCAACCACGATCGTTCCGCCACTATGCACTTAACGTTCAAATATCACTGTACACAGCTAGAATAGCGCCGTAGAAGATAACCCACCCCCATTCGCTCTCATTTCAGGTCTTTCTGGGAAGGTAACCCTTCAGTGAAACACATTGGCTAGGCTACGTGCACCGCTAGTATTCTGTGAGGCGCGTTGTTGATAGACGCACGCCGCGACGACAAAGCAAAATCTCAACAGCTCCTTAGGCGTTGCGTGTGCGGGTACAATTCGGGGTCGTCTTCAGCGTTGACTGGCCACGCAGAACAGGACGTAGTAGTTAATAATCTACCGAACCGAACCATGCCAACAATCGCATTTTGCCGTGTACAAGAAAGCAGTCAACGAAACCCAACTACCTGGCCGTTATCATTCCATCGACCTTGGGCACACCGAGAGGACGCTTAGTACGCACAACCTTCATTGTTTCTGACTTCCCGATGAGATTGCCCTCGAGGTCTATCTCCAGCAGAGATGTGTTGCTCTCTAAGGCTGCCATGAACTCTCTGTGAGGGACGGTGCAAACAGCGAGGGAGCTGGTGTGAAGTTCCACTCAGAGAAACTTATTTTTTTTCTAACGTTTAGGTTACGCGAGTCACCAACAGATGGTTGTTGCGATAAATGGGCGGTCGAAGACATTTTGGTAGCTCGTCACCTGCACTCATCATCGTCAATATCCGCCTTGCGAATAGCTAACGACCTCAGCTTGCACTGCCGGTTTCTCATGTACTCTCGCAGCTCATTCGCGGCTTCGACTCCCACTTCATTTTGGCTCAAATCTAAGTGGGAGCAAAGTGGTAGGCTTTGCACAGCTTTGACGACGGCGTGTGTTCCACGATCGGTCGTGCGGTTGTCGAATGCAGCCAGTCGCTCTACGTTCCCTAGAATTGGCAATACTGTCGCCAGGGAGGTCATAATCTCGTCACCAAGTCCCATTCCTCCCACCTGAGAACAATTTGCCCGAGCAAGAGGTATGGGTGGATGATGTCGCCCAAGTCATTCGTTTGGGTAGTCAAGGTCACACAGAGTGCACAGCGGTGCAAAATTACGCCGATTGGACATGGATGATCAGAAAGCGGCCTGCGGCGGCGCTTGTTCCATAAGTCTATTTTTCGAGCCCATACCCCGAAACAGCTTCAACTCTAGCTAGATGTTGTCTAGCTCTGGAGCTATTCGGTACAGTATTGAGTCTCTCACACCTCAATGGCTCTTGTTTGTTCGCTCATTTTGAGGATTGCTGGCCATGGCGCCCTGCCCTGGTCAGAAAGCTGTCTCAGAAACACGTCAGTTGCTTTCTCCAAGCGGCTCGTGGCGGACTCGTCTGAGGACGATCTCCACGTCGTGCCACGCACTGTTCCCTGAGCATTCGTTCAATGTTGGTGCAATGTGGAACTTTTCAGCCAGTTCCGGGAATGGTCTCGTTCTGTGCGGCTAAGGGTCGCGATAACACGTTCTTCATTGAACCGAAGCCCAGCAAACCGTCCAACTTAACCGTCGGAGCCCTGATAAACATTGCTAGACCATGAAAGATTGAAGGTCGGACAGGCACAGTTCCTGTGTCCAGGCGCTAAAGCCGCAACTCCTTGGTGTAACCTTTTATCCCGACACCAACATTTGACACTCGAGAAACCCACCAAGTAAACGGCGGTAACTTCTACCTCTTCCATGGGGGTGATGTCTGGGTGAGGGTGGGACTGCTTCTTGTCTTCTACGAGGTGGAACTTGTGAAAAAAGTCTCGCCTCCTGTCTTCGCCGCCTCTAGACCTTTCTTCTGGACCGTCAGCGTGCCCCCTGTCAAGTCGATACATACAAACACTTGGCGTCGGCGTTCGCTGTATCATTGACAGCTGACCTGAACTTCAACCGTTGACAAGTTGATGAGTTTTACAGTCGCGAAGGTGGTCCATATAGCCGCAATCACCCTACCTCGCCACACGGGGTCTTGGGAACTACAAGGCCGCCACAAAACAACGCTCCACGTGCGCCAAGCGAAGACGGCACTATATCTGGAAAAGTACCTTGGTGTCGGGCATCTTTTATCTCCCCGCTGAAATGGTTGTGTTCGACACTCAACATCGTAGACAAGTGCCTCGGTGCCAATTGAGTCTTCCGATACTGTTCGCTCGGACAGGGCATCTCCTGGTTCTTGCTCTGGAGTCGGAGATCGTTCAGGATTCTCTTGAGGACGCCTGCCGCATGCGTACCCGCATAGCGATGAGACAGTGGTGTGAAAGCGTGGGATCAGCAATAATGCGGCATTTTGCGACACATGAGCAGAACCCAGCCCGAAAATATTCTTAGGCGTGGTGCACTATCTTCTATCGAAACGCGTGGGACCCAGAAGAGCGCCGAAAGGCTCAAGGGTATATTTTGCAAGAGACAGAGCACACGGGGCACCAAGGCCAGAGCAAGGAAACTACGAGAACACATCCATCGGACACAAAGCCCTGCCAGGTGCTTTAGTTGTTACCTTGCACCGATCGTTTGACGTATGTAGTCGACCACAGATTCCCCCCCCTCATCGTCACCCCAGGCTGTCCGGCGAGCGCCGTCCATCTCGCTCGAGGCGGTTCGTTTCAACCCAAGAGCGTCATTTCGATTGTAGCGCTTGCTTTGCAATCGCCTAGCCCTCTGACCAAAGCTGTTGTTGGCGCGCCGATTCCCTGATCTCGCGAAGGACGTTGCCTCTGAACGCGCTCGCGCCCGCACCTTTGTTCGATATTTCGAAAAGATTGAACGAAAATCCGTGGAGCTTGTTTCCCGTTGATGTGGTCTAAACATGTGGTTCGTCTAGTTGGCAGTTGCTATTGTGTGTTCAAGTTCACCTCCTCAGTCATTAGTATCCTTCGTTTTGCTTGATCCGACAATCAATGTTCGCCAAATGAACCCAGGCTTGTGGTGGAATGTAGAATATAGGTTTTGTTCAGGACGGATGATTTGCATCAAGACATTGCACCCACCTTGCTTGCCAAAAGACTGAGAGACGTCAGAGGTGTGATTTCGCGAGAATGGTCATGACTGATTTTTGAACCATGATGGTTCTTACCTGTCGACTCATATCGTTGTGTCTTGTACAAGATAGTCGATAGCGACGCCCACCCACCTGGGACTGAAGCGGTAGAAGGGCTGCCGGACCAAACAACCTACAGCCCCTGTTGACACTAGGCTTTGGTGCGTGCTTGGGGATGGCAAGACAGCTGGCTCGAGCTAGTTGGTCCGTGTGGGATGTCACCCATGTCATTCCTTCTGTCGAACATACCCCCGCTGTAGAAAAATACGGATAATTATCTTGTTGTTCATGCATATGCTTTGTGTGCTTGTCGTCGTCTCCGGCCGACTTGGCCCTGTACCGCAGACAACCTTGGTGCGAATGCGGCCTGATAAGCATCGATCGTCCAGCTACATGGGATCGATGGGACAAGACTCGAGGCCCTCGTTGATGGAGTTTTTTCTCCAGATCCTGTCACACACACAAGGTGATATTGTGTCGCACATAGGTAGCGCAGGCGTGGGTTGATATTGATACTCATTTATAGAAGGACATCATGACACATCATGCCAAGTACCCTTCCGTCAGCTTTTGTCGCTGCGCGCAGACAAGAGCACAACTTGTGTATCGTCAAAAGTCTTACCGTATGATCGCTTTGTTGGTGATCAAGCGCATATCATGATGAGCGTTGATACTACAGCAAATCACCGATGTCATTGCAACACAACAGTTTTCTCACATCACTCACTCGGAATTCTCTCGCGGACGCTAGCAGGTTTGATCCCCGCTCTTCTTCGTATCTCGCTGTCCACGGGGGCGGAAACATCGGAGGCGGAGTCAACGTTTGTACGTTGGTACGAGAGAGAGTTTCGTCGAGGCAAGTGCTAAATAATTTCCCTCCAACAGGCTGTAGAATACAATACGCTGTCAACTGCTTGAAAAGTGTCGCGAGAGTGATGTGCACGATCCGCGCGCAAAACATGCCCTAAGACTTCATAAGTGGTCAAGGTTGTTTTGTTCTGTGATTTAAAAAACCTGCTGCAAAACGAACCAACATGATCCTCCCCACGGTTCGCGGCGGTTTCAGCACACCGTCGCCTCGTGACCATGTGAACGCCTCGTGAACCGAACCATGAAAAAAAAAAACTTACCGGCAGCGGAACCACTGCTACGGTTAGGTTAGCGGTTGGGGCGATAGTCTACGTCGTGTAGTTGACGTTGTTTACACGGCAGGAGCACCCAGCTCTCAGCACATTTGCTATTTTTCAGAGCGAACAATCTTGGGTCCTACTATTGCACCAGGAGAGAGGGACAAAGAGGAGCGACAGGTGAAACCAGACGCGTTTTTTTGTTGTCAAAACTCCTTCCCAGTCTTCCCTCTGTGCGACTGCTGTTGTGAACCTAGCGTCCATGCCTAATAGTCGGTAAGTACTGCCTGCCGTCATACGAAATTTACTCTCACCATCTCTCCATAGTAGGCATTGCACATACCTCTCTCTCGCGCGTGTACGGCCCCTAACCAGCATCCCCACCGCCTGTGATGTCATGCCTACCTCTCCCGCAATGATGGCGCTCTAAGTGAGGACGAGCAGTCCCCAAGAATCGGCCAGTACCATCAAGATGGTAAGAATACAGCTTAGCAAGGATCAGCATCCGCAGCAAGTCAATATCAAATCTCTACATGATGTCGATCTTCACAGCCAATGTGCCCTGCTCGTTGGCTAGTCAAGAAGGGAAATCAGTTCGGTCATGTGAAGTACATATGTGATTGGTTATGGAAGCGGCACCCTCCTGGTTTGCAAACCAAACAAATCGCGATACCCCCACTCCAGGTTTATGTCTGTAGACCAGCAGAACGGCCACACATACGCTGTTTTTTCGAGTTTGCTTTGGCGGCCCCCTGTTTAGCGGAATTCCTTGTTACAAAACGGCGTAGTACCGCTGCATCCCGGTTGAAGGCTTTTACCGTGCCCACAATAGCCGTTGCTTGAGCTGGGTTCAGCGAGCAATGGTGGTCATCGATTAAAAGTTGGCGGAGACCCCCTCGCGCACGCGCAACAAAAGACAACTCGTGCGCGGATGGAGAGTTGTGCAACCTTCTGCGTAAGAGCAGTAGCAGAAACGAAGTCACTACGTAAAGCGTTAGCCCAGTGTAGCGGTTCGTACTATTGAGACTCTTCCGGTTGAGCGGCTAAGTGGGTTCGGCGGCGTGCCCAAATAAGCGGTCCCATTTTGTCCTCACACTACACGTAAGTGCAGCTAAACCGACAAGTGGGAACGAAATGCGGATCAATCACACCTCGCTCGGGATCTAGCGAATAGAATAGTAGAACTTTTCCGGGGTGACTCGCTGAATCGATATTGAGATTACAGGAACCGGCTGCTTCTGACAAATGATTTACACAATATTGCCATATGATTGGTGCGGTGTGATAAGCGGTGGGTATTTTTTTTTGAACCCACTGGAAAGAACGGAAAACAACCCGACGATTAGCAGAAAGCAGCGGGGAAACAGTGTTGTTTGTATTCAAATCCCTCTTCCTTGTCGCGCTCGTTTGCAAGAAGTATCCTTGACCTTCGCCCCTTTCCCGTCATCCGCCACATTCGTGAAAATCTGCTTGGAATGACCGCTCTCTACACTGGGCTGCAGGCGAGGTAAGCATGTATCTGCATTGTTCGTATTTTGCACGACTGTCCCATGATCAATTGAGCTCTTGAGAGGCGCCTCCTGAATTATCATCGTTGCATCAGGAGTGTCTCATTTGTTGTCGCAGGTAATCCAGGCTCGGAGATGCGGGCGTTCAAGGAGTGAAGACGGTATGTTCCTGGTGACCCTTTGCGAAGACAACGATGCTTTCACGTGGATGTTTTTGGGAACAATTTCCGTTGAAAAGGAACCGATGGGCAAGCAGACGTGTGTACGGCCAGGGAAAGGGATGATATGCAATGAATCGGCGGAAAAACACCGTCTGTATTCGCTGTGCCTAAAAGCGTAAACACGACTATACCGCCTTCGTTTGCCGTTGAGTCCGTGCCTGTTCCAAGACGGGCATCAATTTTGCTGGCGGGTCTGCAATGCTGCACTGTTGAGCGCATATCCCTCGCCGCCTTCGTTGTTCCCTATCAAGTGTTTCGGACTCAGATGATGACATGCCGCTCGCGCAATTTTCGAAGAAGCATCAGAAGAACGCGGCTACTGGAGAATCGGACAAGGTGAGGCTGGGAATGCGTCGTTGACCAGCATGTGTGTGTAGTAACTTCAGGCTTACAAGCTACCCGATAGATGGACGTCTCGTTGCATTTTATCACGGGGTGGTTTGCATCAAGCTCTTGTCGCACGACCTACTACACAATTTCAGTATTCTATACTCGTGTGTGCCGGCGTGTGGTTTCTCGTTTCTGGGCAAAGGCAAAGACGAAAGCCAAGCCAACCGCCAAGGCAAAGACTACCATCAAAAGTCCGGCCGCCAAGAAGCTGGTGACCAAGAAGGGGTCGGCGAAGAAGCCCACCCCCGCGAAGAAAGGCGCCAAGAAAACGCCCACGCTGAAAGCTAAGAGCAAGGGTCCGGTGAGTGAGCGATATGGCTCGAGGCTTCTTCGAGGTGTCAACTGGGAACGTCTGTGTTGAGCGTAGCACCGTTGTTTGGTTTGAACAACTCCCCTTCTGACCGCTCGACGCCTGACTCTCAATTTCCCCCGCTTGCGCCTTGTCGTGACTCCCAGGCAGCGAAGAAAGCTCCGTTGAAAAGGGTGCGTCCGATGGCATAGCGTCTATAGATAGAACGGTGTCGAATGTGAATGACGCATTTTGTAGCGATTCCGATGGTTGTTGCCCGCGTGTCTGGCTGTTGGGAAGTATATCTCAAGGGTCGGCTGAGTACAACACGATCGACTTCATAAGTCGCGAGGGAAGGTATTGCTGTACCCTTATCGCGATAAAAAGGTCTTAGGTCGGAAACGCAGGAGGGAGTCCAGCTCCCCCCTCCTATGTGACCCCGGTTGGGTCGTCTAGCTAGTTGAAGTGGAGGATGGGGGCCAGAGGGGCAGACGACAGAGTCCATTCATGGGAGAAAAATAAATAACTACCGGTCATAAAGCATGACGCATTGATCTCGTCATAGCTGAGGTTCTTGATGGGGTGAATGGATGCAATTACATCATAATGGACGGATTTTGGTCGAAAACTCGCCGAACAGAGAGACTCCATCAGCTACTCAAGTCTTGTCCAAGCTGGGTAGATCGGCCCTTTCCGATTCTCTTATACTACCGCCGTTTGTTTCAGTATCCGCGACACTTGCATCTCCCATGACAAGCTGTGTTCCGCTCTGTATTTTTGTTTCGCACATGACGCCAACCCGTATCCCAAAGAAAACAAAGCGGAAGACGAAACCACGAGAGCAGGAGTCTTCGGGGGACAAGCTGGTCACTCGATCAGGAGTGCTGTACGAGACGAAGAAGGTGTGTGTTTGTACGGAAGTAGACCCACGCTCTTGCCCGTTTATTTCCACTGCTGTGGGCGTCTTGGCTCTTTCACATGAAGTGTGATTGAAGCCGAGTGTAGCTGCTTTCCGTGTACACGACGGGGCTCAGATTCAGTACCACCCCCCCCTCGCGCGCAGCTAGTACGCGGGGTATAATGCACCTTCAACACGGAGGACGTTCGAGAGGACTATATATGCCACAGATGACCCCTTCTGCCGTTGCCAGATGGATCAGTTTTCTTTGTGGTTAGGTGACTACTTGTAGCATTTTTCATCCCCGTCCTCAGGGTGAGATAATTCAGAAGCTCCTCTGCCGTTGGTGGTATGCAATGGAGTGGCCGGCAAAGAAGGACCTGCGGCCAGCTCCTCCTTCGTACGAGGCGCTGGAAGGGTACCCGGGCGTGTTCATCTGTGTCGAGGTGAGAGTCGGAGGATTGGCGTGCGCCAGCACCGCGAAGTACATGCTGCACCTCGGTTCCCTCATTACTTCGGGATAACCCTCGCCGTTTTGGGAGCGTTTACTTTTTCAATTGTGCCCGTCACGAGCTGTTGGTTTTGTGCCGTCTCTCCGTTGCATTTGACGTCGGTCTGGCAGGGCGACGATATCGGCAAGCTCCTCGACGTGCGCAACAAGGAGACCTGTCCGTGCTTCACGAATTTCGCAAAAAAGGTTGGTGGAATACTCGCCCCGTTTGAGATTCCTCAGTCAAAAAAGGTTGGCGTGGGCAAAAGCATATGGATGAGGGCTCGTGCAGTCTCGAGCCCCCTCGAGTTACGGCGGTGTTGCATGCGTGTACATGTAGGCTTGGTTGATGTGCTGCCGTTGCCTCGAGTTGCTGGGTTGGCTCGATCATGGCTCTCGCCCGTCAAATGCCCCGTGAAGGTGGGAAATGTTGATGTGCTCTGCTGTGCCCACTTGGCCAGAGTTCGGAGGAGCTGAAGGGGCTTTTGGAGACAGCGTTGACGACGCAAAAGGAGGCGCTGATTGCTCACTGGGGGAAAAACGTGGCCGAAGAGGCGAAGATCGACAGGTGATGAAGATGTCATCTTTGCCTTGTGTCACTCTGCAACCTCTTTCATGACCGGTACTTCGTCATGCAGCCCTCAGTATTACAAGTAGTGCTAGCCCGACAAATGGGGGCAATTCGCTCTCCATCCCAAAAGCTTGGGGTAGATGCGTGCTGCGCGTTATTAAATATGGCCGAAAGCAAGGCGCTTCTCAACATCAGATCCCGGTTTGCCCCCAGGTTGACGTGACGCTCGCCACCTTTCTTGTTTTCCGCGCAAGAGAAGCCAGGGCAGTTAACAAGCGCATGGCATGGAAAACACCTTGACGGCATTCTACGGCCGTCTAGCATGCTTTTGTTGACTGAAGAAAAAGCAGTTGCGAAACAGTATCAACCACTTCGTAACATCACACGTCACTTCACGACTCTGAAATGGGAGTGATGTCCTTCGGACGTATTTTGTCCACCCACCCTTTCGTTGACGTGCAGGGAGCTCAAGTGGTTGAAGAGCGTGGACCCGGCTAAGGCAGACAAGGCAGCTGTCAGGGCGCTTGCTGGAAAGTTCTAGACCACCGCGTGTACAACGCGATGACGAAACAGGGCCGAAGGGTCGGAGCCGACCGACACTAGTACTTTAACGTTACTTATTTTGGAGTAGAATATGTTTTTTCTAAATATGTAACGTATAGTCGGCTACAATGAAGTATGCGATGAGAGGACCACGAGCTCCAGCAGTATACGGGGACCATGCCTTTGAATGTGCGTTTGTTGGACCGTTTGGCTGTGTCACAGCAGGTCGTTGGAAAAGTTCGTTTGATTGTGTCAGTGCTGCCTGTGGTAGCCTCGAAATGCAGCCTCGAAATGACCTTCGTGTACAGACACCGGTTTAGGTGGACGCGCGGCTAGCGCAATCGCAGGTCCTTTTGTATGTCACTTGAAGTCTGCGAGTCACTCGCACCACCCTCACGATTCCTGTTGTATTATGGTGAGTGGACACAATAACATGTGCGTACACTGAACCAGTATCAGCCACTTAGGCGTGTACGTCGATCAACCATACAGCTAATTTATTTTTCATCAACCATACAGCTTATAGAAAGATTTGGTCACTTTTCATGCTTCGGTTTTCGTTCTCTCGCGGCAGCGAGTTTTTTCCCGCGTTTCCTTCTCAGGGGCACGCAGGAGGCTCGCCTGTACTTTAACGCCCGTGCCCGGAGCCAAAGTTGCGAAAACTGGCTCAAAAACCCAGGGGATGCGTTCCGCGCTGATAAAGCCTGGCGAACCAATTCTGAAACCTATCAAACCCATCAATGACGATGGTTGAAATATTTGCCTCGTGCTTTCCATTTTCATTCGTTCATTCATCCATTCATTCGATGATTCATGGCTGTGACTCTTAGTGTCATCGCTTTTTTTCGTTTTTCCCATCATTGGATTCTGTCGTCTGCCCCTCTGGCCCCTCCTCCACTTCTACTAGCTAGACGACCCAACTGGGGTCACATAGGAGGGGGGGGCTGGACTCCCTCCTGCGGTTCCTGCCTGAGGTATTTTTTTCGCGAAAAGGGTACAGCAATCCCTTCCCTCGCGACTTCCGAAGTCGATTATGGTGTACTAACAACGAGCTTTGCAACGCGTCGCTTTCATCCTAGACCAGGATTATTTAGTGAGAAAAAAACTCACTTTGTCGGGACTCGAACCCATGACCTGGCCCTTAGCAGGCTGCGAGGTTACCCACTAGAGTACCGGGGCGACCGGCACAATTGTCTTGTTGACACCACTCGAAAACCGGTCGCCCCGGTGGTCTAGTGGTATCCTCGTAATCCGCTAGTCGCAGAGGTCGTGAGTTCGAATCCCCATGGAGTGAAAAATTTACGAAATATGCGGGTGAAAGCGAACTATATCTAAAAAGCTCTCGTGAGCACCAAGCTTCGACGTTAGCACCGTTGACGAGGGAAAGGGACGGCTGTACCCTTATCGCGATAAAAAAAAAAATTCAGCACGCACCGCAGGATTAAGGTGGGACATGAAAAGAAATAAAAAGAAGAAAAAAGCCCTGGTGTTTACCCCCTCCTGTGTTACCCTGGATGATCGTAGTTGTCCGAAAAAAGTAGTTGTCCGAAAAAATACACTGAAAAGTGTATACTCTACATACGCTGAAAAGTGTAGTTCACGTCTCACCACCAAAAATGGGGGGACTGTCGCCATAATAAATAGGACGAAAACACACACACACACACATTGTCCAACAGCAGTACCTACGTTTACCACACTTCGCAGCGGGCCAAGTGTAGACAAGTCTGAGAGCATGCATCCAGTCGCAGTGTTGAACATGGTTCTCGTCGGAAATCTGCCGTCATCAAAGACATCATGGCATGGAAATCTGAGGTTTCGTGGCCAAAATATTGTCCGCTCGAGCTGGCTCCAATGTAGAATAACAACGTGCACGATGTTTTGTACGGAAATACAAGCGTGATAAGACACCCAGTCCCTCTTCGAGCAATGCGCATGTGGTCTTGCGTCACCTGAGGGAGGGTAGACACCCACGTCCNCAGTCGCAGTGTTGAACATGGTTCTCGTCGGAAATCTGCCGTCATCAAAGACATCATGGCATGGAAATCTGAGGTTTCGTGGCCAAAATATTGTCCGCTCGAGCTGGCTCCAATGTAGAATAACAACGTGCACGATGTTTTGTACGGAAATACAAGCGTGATAAGACACCCAGTCCCTCTTCGAGCAATGCGCATGTGGTCTTGCGTCACCTGAGGGAGGGTAGACACCCACGTCCCGAAGGGAGACCCTGTATACATGTACGGATGTGTTATTCCAACTCCAAAGTGCATACAACGAAGCGGTTTCCCGAGAACAGCAGTGCTCTCCTGTCGCCTGCATGGTTTCTACTCATAATCAGTCTCCGCCGTTTGCTAATGTAAAAACGATCCGGTTTTTCCAGTTCCAGCTGGTATGTACAAGACCTTGGACACGTTCGCTTCAGGTTCGCAACAAGAGTCCATCAGATCTAAACTGGATCTCAAGGAGATATACTTGAAGCAACTTACGTCCGCAACGCCCGCCCGTGACTTCGCCAGGGTACGATATCTGCTCAGCATCTGGCACCTTTGACACACGAAAACTATCCCTCGAGAGCCAGGAGACCCAACTATCAGGGTGATTAGGGCAGTTATTCATCCATTGCCTGCAGCCGAGCATCTCGGGATGTCGTTGTGCTCGGTCATTGAAGCAAGGAGAGCGTTGAAGTTTTCAATTCGTTCGCGATGAGTCTGCTTGACCATGCCTCGAATCTTCTTCCCCTGTATCACAAGAGGCAAAAAGCATTCAAATAGCAAGGAGAAGAAGTTGACGTCGTTTCCACAAATCAGCCAACGGGAGAATGGTACCAATCACGGTGCCAACAATTCCGTGTCTGCACGCGGTGAGGTGACAATGTGCAACACATGGGAGCGCAACGGCCCAAACACGAGGTACACAAGCCCTACATCACGTCGACAACATTGCAGCACCAAAGTCAGCAGCAAGTCTCTTTGCATGTGCGGGTCTCCAAGAGTCGATGTACAGGCTTCCTGCCATCAACATGCAGCTCGTCACGAACATATTTACATGAAGCGATCCGACAGGTTGAGTATCTCACCTCGCGTTCCAGCTGCTTCTTCCTGAATCGCCGTTGGGCTGGCGTCAGCATGTCGTCTACATCCTCGCCCGCTTGTTCATTCCCTTCCCCAGCCCCATCTTTCTTTGCGCCGTCGTCTGACCCAGACCCTCCAGCATCAGCACCATCGGCCGCTGATCCAGAGCTGCGTTCATCTTCAATAGCAGCCTCGCGCGCCCGGTCAGCTGCTTCGGTCTCTTCCCGCTTACGCTTCCCCTTCTTCCTGTAGAACAACACAAACGCAAACAACGTTCCAACTTAGGTATCAATGTTACGCCAACACGGTACGAGCGCAACCCCCCCTCTAGGCAGTCAGGCAGACGCCTCAAGAACGGCACCAAGAGGTTACATGTTGCAGTAAGCTGCAATATATCAACTCCCGCACGTGCAACAACATCACGCCATAGCCAGAGCACGCACACAAGCTGTTCCGCTTGAAAATATCGACCTTCAAACGCCGGCGCGCGGATACATTCATTTCAATGATACACAATATTGCGCTGTCACGGTGAAGTTGATGTTTAATAGAATATCAGGGCACCTACATGTATTGGTCTGAGTTTCTATGCATACCTCTTCGTTCATAATTTATGCCACGAAGTGGAAAGAGCGGGTGTGGTACGCCCATGGTACTTGCAGGGACAGACAGGCCCATTCCACAAGAACCAGGTTGAGAGGAGGTAGGGAAAGATTCAACATTTACCCGCAGCCAACATGGAGTCCTCACAGAAAATGGTTGCGATCAGCGTCGAACAGCCAGCGAGTCAAGGTACACTTTTGACTGTGTGCTGCGTAACACACGATTTCACGGACCCATGGAACCCCCCCCCTCCCCCAGAGCTTGTCACGACTGAAGTCTCGTAGTCACCGTCCCACGAGCCCCAACCGCCCAGTGAACGAAGGGCTGAACATCCCCCAAAAGGAACACTTCAGGCTCAACGAGTTCCCCACACCTTGTCCTGCAAAACTATTGGCCAAGAGCTCGTGGCCCCCGTGATTCAGCCAACTCGTAACCTTCTGACACTACACTATGGGTTCGAATCTATCTGGAACGAGCGATATAACCTACTACAGGGCGAGTACCGCGGGAGCAAAGGTGGGGCGGTGGGGCAGCAAGAAAGAAAGTAACGTCCGTGCCCCGTCTGAAATGTAAGTCAAACATGTAGTCTACTTCGATACAGCGAGGGCTTGTGCCAGGGAATAAACGGACGAACACACAGACAACATATGGCGTGGAAGCGAGCAAGAGTTTTGAGCCAGATGAACTTGCGCACAACAAAAGTGCCAGGAATCGAGAGGACCTGCCAAAAGTAGTGGGAATATTGGCAACGACAGTGGTGGTGGTGAATGCAGGGAGGACGACGACAGCACTCCAAAAATGAACGCGCGTTCAAAGCAGCAGCTGTAGTAAACACGTGTTCTTCAGTTGCTACCGTGTCTGTCTTTTAATCCGGACAGCGGTAGTGTAGCCTCCCCCATGATGCCCTCTCACGGGGTCCCAGATCATGGCCTTTAGAAATGTTAAACATTTTGTGTTTTGAACCGCACGCGTCCTTTCATTGGTCAAGCCGGTTAGCGACCTAACGTAGGCGATTTTTTACCGGTAGCGCCTGGAAAAAAAAGAAGAAAAAAAAACAGAACAAAGTTCCAGGCCTTGTCTCGCGGCTCTCTCTCCGGGAAAATGTACATATCTCGACAACCACGACTTCGATTCACAAGCGTATTTCTGCAGTAGACGAGCAGAAAGCAGGAGGACAACTTTCGAGCTGTCTCTACCTTGAATTGGTCCCTTTGTCCCCTCTCGATGCTGTATTTGTGGAAATGTGCAAAAAAAGTCACCTGCACACCACGTAGGATCACCCTAATAAAAAATCATCTGCCGTCACGCATACGCACATCAGCAAAAGCACACCGCCCCTCGCAAAGCAAGGAAGGCCAGCAACAGTCAAGGGCAGCAGCAACAGCGGTGGTTGGAGCAGCAAACACGTAGGGTGAGGTGCTGCTGCCATGAGATCGATGTCATCCGCGTTTGCTTGTTGTGCGGTGTAAAGATACGATGTCGTCCCCGCCCGTCCGCGCATCATAATTCCCAACGGCATATAATAACAATAAAAGGCGTCTGGCTCTCGCTTTCATACTGCGCAGTCCTGCGACACCACGCAACCATAAACAACAACAGCAGGGAGTAGAGTAGAGTACGGGTCGCGCTGTGGTATTTAGATGTGTAATGCCACAGCAGGTCCGCCGTGTGATGCGTGCAATGAGATGATGAAGATCCTGCTGCTGCTGCTGCTGCTGCTGCCGTACGTTGTCGCGCAAGCGCATCTCTTTTCTCTCTGCGCAGCAGCAGTCCTTCCGCAACAGCCACACCAACCAAAACAACCACCAACGGCAGGGGTATATATATTGAGTGATGCACAGGTTTGGGGAACTGGAAGGCGGTTGGCCCCGACCTCCTTGCCGCCGAACTGCTCAAGGTCGACGGCGACGACGAGCCCATTGTCCTGGAGCGCCTCCGTGCCATCTTCGTCGAAGTGTGGAATGGGGGAGAGATGCCGCAGGAGTGGAAGGNCATTCTGAGAAGTCACCGAAATCCTCCCGGAGGAACAGTGCGGGTTCCGGCCTGGCCGATCCACGGTATGCATGCTGTTCGTTGTGCGCCGACTCCAGGAGCTGGGGCGGAGGAGGAGAATCCCGCTCTACATGTGCTTCATCGATCTGCAGAAGGCATATGACTCGGTGGACCGGGAGCTACTGTGGAAGGTGCTGGCCCGGGCCGGGATCCCCGGGGAGATGATCGCCGTAATCCGCAAGTTCCACGTCGGAATGCGGACCCGGGTCCGCATGGACGATGGGGACCTATCGGACTGGTTGGTTCCCGGTCACGCAGGGACTGCGACAAGGGTGCTCAATGTCCCCACTGCTGTTCAACGTCTTCTTCGCAGCGCCTCTCGAGATCATTGTCACACGGTTCAGCCAAGATGAGGTTATCGTGCGGGACCTAGTGTACTTGAAGGAGGAGGAACGGAGGGGGGGGGGATTGCTGGACCGAGTCCGGAGGGCGGTGTGGGGGATGCTATATGCCGACGATGCCGGCGTTGTGTCGAAGTCCGCCGACGGCCTGGCGAGGATGATGACCATTATCGTGGAGGTGTTCCGGGAGTTCGGGCTGACGGTGTCGGAGAGGAAGACGGAGACCCTGGTGATGCGGGTGAAGGAGAGACAGCGACCGCCGCCGCCGCCACCGCCGGTGCTGACCATCGAAGCAGCGGGGCAAAGGTACGCACAGACGACCGAGTTCCGATACCTGGGCGGCCTCGTCAACGAGCAGGGCGACCTTACCCGAGAGATCAACCACAGGAGCAAAGCAGCGTGGGCGTGCATTAAGCGATACGCCACGGAGCTCTTCGACCGACCGGGAGCACCGTTTCGCCTCAAAGCCCGCCTGCTCCAGGCGGAGGCAGTGGAGGCACTGCTATACGGCTGCATGACATGGTCCCCACGCCGCAACCACTACGGAATGCTGCAGACGACACACCACCGGCTACTCCTGCGAGTCATCGGCTACCGGCGCAAACGAGGCACCTACCGGCAGCTGTCATACGCCCAGGCGCTAAAGAGGGTCGGCTGCCAGAGCGTGGAGGCCACTGTCCGTCAACGGCGCCTGCTCTTTGCGGGGGCCGTGGCAAGACAGCCGGACGGGCGGCTTCCGAAACGGCTGATGTTCGGCGAGTTGGTGGGAGGGGAGGACCCGGGCCGGGGAAACCCGGAGCAGAACTGGCTGACATGCCTGAAGGACGACATGAAGATGTTCGAAGCCAGGTACGGCTCCACGACCGACAAGCCGAGCGTCTTCGGAGTCCCGAAGTTAGTCTGGAGTGAGGCGGCGAAGGTGGAGGGGGGGGTACCGTGGCACGCGCGGGTGCTACAGGGAGCTGAGAGGTTCATGGCCTCTTGGCACAAGGGCAAGGAGGAGGCCAGCCGACAACGAGCCATCAAACGAGGAGACAGCGGGCCCAAAAATAGTCTAGATACGGCACCAATCAACGGGGCGGTAGGGGGGCGGAAGGAAACGGCGCGGCGGGAAGAAAGCAAGCGAGAAGAGACCGACCGCGTGACGTGACATGTTGCGGTCGAATTTCAACGACTAATTTTTCTGTTGCCCTCTCCCCCGTTTGCTGTCGCGTTCAGACTGTATCTACGGATATCCCTGTCTCGGTGCGAGTTTGTTTATGTCCTCGTCTGTCTTTGGTTTATTTCGTTTTACTTTGTTTTGTTTTTTTTACTGGCACGTACTGCTGACCCTTGGGGTCCTTCCGGAAGGCTACCCCCCAGGCTGGTGGTGCGCACGTTCCACCATTTAGTTATTTATTTGTTTCTGATTCTTTTGTTTTCTTGTATTTTATCGCTCTGCTAACCCTTGGGGTCCATTTTATTTTGGGATACCTTTTCTAGGTATACATTAGCCTGTGGCCTCGGAAATTGACCGAGTCAAGTGCTGGATTAGTACGGAGAGATTGAGACAGAAGGAGGTACTGGATAGAGAGACCGGGATGGTTTTTAATGTGAAGGCAACAACAACAACAGTGCTACTGCGCCAATTCCAGCCTCTCTTGTTGCTGTGCGTTGGGTTGTTGGCGTGTGGTCATCACAAACAAAAGTTGCCGCTTCGGCGGCTAGCTGCTCAATTTTTTTGCTACTGCTTCCGTGTCATAACTGGAGTAACAGCAGCAGCAACAACAACAAAAACAGCGAGGACATGTTGCCTCTATGTGTGGCAAGCCCTTCCTCCTCTGTGTGCTCCGTGCTCCGTGCTGTTTGTGCTGTGTAAGCTGCGTGTTGCCGAGACGACACTTGATGTGTGTGTCCGCGGTGCCCCTTTTCAAACGTGTCGCCAATACCGGCGTGCGTAGGTACCCGAAGAAAAATCGCCCATACAGTCGACCCCGCTTTAAGGACGCTCGCGTAAAGGAAACTCCCCGCTTAAAGGAAACATTTTTCTGAGCACCAGGGGGGCCGGCGGAATGACGATAATGGGGTACCCCCCTTTTTTTCTGCCACATGCCCCCCTTTTTGTGTCCTGCGGGCCGCTCTTTGCACGCACCACGCACCAGTGAGTGCAGAAGTATCGACGCACAGACAGCAGAAGTAGCGAGCGGTCTGCTGTTGCAGCTGCAACTGGGTGTTGGCATGGATAGATTCCTCCCATCTACCGGCGGTCCATCTAATGCCGCCAAAAAAACATGTGGAGAACCAACGTGTGCGATGAGATCTCTACGGATCACCGCAGTCCACCAGTGCCCATGCGGGCGGCCGATGCATGGCTTCTGTGGCCGAGGAATCGGTGAGGAAGGCTTCGGGCAACAGAGAGAGTGCGCAGATTGTCAGAGGAGAACGACTACAGGCAAGATCGGCACCGGCACAAGTCCCATGGAGGTGGACAGCAGTAACGACAACGAGGATAAAAGCAGCAGGTGATGATTGTGATTCCCAGCAGTCAGCAGCAGCAGCAGCAGCAGCAGCAGCAGCAGCCATCGGCCGAACGCGTGCTGTTGAGCAGTTGAGCAGGAAAGCGTGCACCACGATGTTACATGTACATTGCATGTCCTTGCCTTCGTCCAATTCTTGTCAAACAACAGCAGTGTCAGCATGCCAGGAAAACTCACTGAGATTGTCCGCACAAGGCTGCGTGTGTGCGTGTATTTTTTTTTGTCATGACAAAAGATCGACAACATGTGTCGGTGTGAGTGCATTTGTAGTGAGCGTCAAAAACCAAGTGACGACTCTTGCTACTGCTGTGCATCTTTTGGCACGCAACTTGCGCCTGAAGCAGTTCGCATGCCACGCTGCCGAAGTGATTCTCGTTGTTCAACGCTGATAGAAAGTGAACTTTTGTACGTTTAGAGGACTGGTGATTACGGTTCGCACTTGAAAAAAATACAAAATTGACGCAGTCGTGATATTCTGTTGTCTTATTTTTATTTGGAGTAAATTGTAGCTGCTGGCCTGCGTGCAGTCTCTCGGCGGTAGGTGCGAGCACTCTCGTTCTCCGGAAAATAAGCGCATGTTGTGTTGGGCACAACGACATTTTTTCTCACGTGGGTGTATTTGCCAACAACCTGCCCTGATATGTCACAATTCCCTCGTCTCTTGCAAAATTTGTCGTGCAGGACGAGGCAACCGGCTGGGGGCAAAGAGTTAGAGACTGTAAGGAAGGGGAAACGGCCTTAACACACCGCGACGAGGGGCGGCGCAGGTGCCGCGGGGCTGGGCGGCGGAGGCGCCGCGGGGGGGGGG